TTATTGAGAAGGGCCTATTTGTTGTTTTTACAGATGCATTTGATAAATAAGTCCACTAATACAAGTAGCAACTTGGCTTTGTTCAAATCCAACATTTACAAATTGTGGAGCCAGGCAACTGACTTCCTTTGTAACTGCCCATAAATCTGTTTGGAATTCTCTGAAACACCATCAAGAGAACCTGACTTAAGAATTAAGATATATGAAACTACTTTTGAAAATGATTGCTGTATTCTCCCACCCTAACATATATCACACACTGGAGCGCACTGTGAAATACTGTATGCTCAATTATATGCTTCATTTATGAAATTTATTCTAGCGTGACTTTTCTAAAATTGAAGGTACTCAAAGCAATTTGCAACTATATTTATGCATTAACGTTGTTTTCCTGACATTTAATAATTAATCTAGTTCTTCCATCCATCATCTGTCAGTACCAAAAACAGGGGTGAACAAAAGCCACACTATTATTTGAGGATAAAAGGGCTGAGATTTCTGAGGGATTGAGGTCTGTGTTTGTTTTCTTAAAAGTAAAATGCTTAATTTAGATATTTATTTGTATTGTTACTTTCATCTCAAGTGCTGGGAAACAAGTACAATCAGTTTTCTGCATTTATGTAGAGAGGGCCTTGGGACTGCAGATATCTTACCCATCCAGGATTTAGATGCTGCATGTTCATAAAAGTGATGTAGATTCCTAGAGATTTATACTAGACTGGCACATCTAATTGCAAACTGACTTTTGCAGATGAGCTATTTCATTGAATGCCAGGAAACATGCTACTGAAAAATTCAAGTTTGATCCAAGACAAATCTGACAGATTTGTCTACATTCTTACTCCATCTCATCACTGCTCACAATGACCATATTTTAGGGAATTAGAATATTTTTCCTTTTTTATATTCAGTATTCCTCCAATTCCTTCCAATCCTCACACAAAGATTAGAATTAAGTGTTGAAAGAATCTATATACTATTAAAACTCTTGTTCTGTTTATTTGTTTCTACCCTCTGTTTCTACCCTCATGTTAGCCAAACGTTTTGAATCAAGATATTTAAAACTTAAAAGTATGTGTGTGTGTGTGTGTGCGTGCACACACACACACACACACATCTATAAAATGTAGAACTATTCTAGATAACTTTTTGTTAAATTCCATTCTTATAATTTGGTCTTTTCCATTTATAGAGATTTTTACATTTTATATTTTTTTATTTATCATTAAAGATTATATCATCAAAATCCAGAGTTATTATTTAATCTATAGTTAGATAAAAGCAAAGGGGTGTAGGAGGACAGTTAAGGAAATTAATTAAATTGCAGATTTTGTAGACAGAGATAAACCAGCCATCAGATATTTCCAGGATGAAACCAAATCCTGCAGTTTTTTAACTGCAGTTTTCTCGCTGCAATAACAATCTTACAGAATTTGGTGATCTTCTTGAATATTTCTGTTCAACTGTTATTTAACTAAAACAAAGCATTCTTCACATCAGATCAGCCCATCTGGGAAGTCTTTAATAGTACTATTAATTCAGAATGCCATGCTCCATAAAAAGAACAGCACAATAGATTGTGTAAAACTGTCTCGATTGCTCCGTCTGTTGTGGCCATGTATGGTTGAACCTTCTCTTCAGGACTATTAATGGCAAAGCATTGAGCCCGGCTAATGAAAACACTCTTCTGTATGGGACAAAAAGGCTATTATAAAAGTAATTAAGTAAGGAGAAAGGTTTACCACTGAAGACATAATTATAGTAGTAAGGGTCTTTGCTTCTATCTCTAGAATTTCAGGCAAAGAACGCACTATTTAATCTCAAAAATTAAAAAAAAAATAGGGCCCTGATCTTGTCAAACATATTATGACAGGCCATAATAATTCAGGTACAAGATTGTGGTTTTCTTCACACACACAAAAAGGTAAAGCTGTATGGATCAAAGAATCATCTTAAACTCAATGGGGCAAAATATTTGCAAATATTGAATTAAGGCACTGGAAGGCCTATATGCTTGAATTGTTTTCATCTTTTGTTTCTTTCTTTGAAAAATGAATAATAGGAATAAAACTTCTAAATATTTAAAGTCTTTGACTTTGCTCAAGTAGGCATTTATTTTCAGTTATGAAGGGAAATACTGTATAAATGACTGAATTATAAATGAAAGGTGCACTGTGAGTTTTGAAATGAAAAGATAAGATATACATTTATAAATGTATAATGCAAAAAACAAAAGTGAAGCTAGGGATTTCCTACCAAGTCCACATTTGACAGCAAATCCTATTTTACACATTTTGCAGAAAATTGGATTGCTTTGCCTTCATCTGAAGTATATGCTAAGCTATATATACATCTTGCTTGCTTCCATAAAATTGGTCAATGGGGCACAGAGTTCCTTGTAGGATAATGTGAAGTATATAGCTGCCTTTGATCTTAGCATTACATTATACCAGTCAAAGGTACCAATGGTATATTCTAATTACGTCTGCTATTGGTAGGCTGCCAACTATCTCCTTGTATACCTTATGTAGCATCCTCAGAAAGCTAAAAAAGTGTTTGACTTCAAGCACTGGAAAATGGTTACAGTAGTAACTAGAGATTGTCTTGCAGGCTCACTTTCCAAATACTGTTCTTAGTCTTGGCAGGATGAGGTGTTGATGGCAGGTGCTGGATTTGCTATAAATGGACAATTTATAAACAGAGCTGACAACTGGGAAAACAGTGTATGTGTGTTGAGGAGGAAGGGGGGACATAATACTAGCATTTCAGACACTGATATTTGATTTCATATCAAATGGCCTTCAGCATGGAATATTGGGCTACTGTTCTGAAAGGGAACATTTGGCTTAGATGTAAATAAATTCTGCTCAGATTATAGTACTGTTAGGGTTAGAGATTTTCACATGGCTGGCTTTCCTTCTCATGTTTTTTATGGCTTCATTGAGTTAATAGTTATCTCAAACATGTGAATTCAACAGAACAGTTTTTGCAAGATCACAGCAATCAAATATCATTTTGAGCTTAGAGTTTCCTGTATAATTGGATTTGTTGCAAACTTTTTCCATCGGTTGGTTGCTTTCATTGGAGAAGTTGCCTTGCATTCAAAGGCATTTGAAAGTGATGTCATCAAGTATGAAGTTTCAAGAGTCAAATTCAGAGAAGAGTCAAATTTTGTACAAGAAATACTTTTGAATTCAAGGGGCAACTATATAGGCAAACAGAAAGCAAAGCTCACTGCATCAGTAGGACAAACAGTAATATATTTGCTTTGTTTTGAATCAAAAAGCTTCTAAAACAGAATTGTTTTTATCTGGGTATCATTTCTTTCATCATAATGTCGATTAGTCTTGAAAGATGATAAATAGAGTGATAATATTGATTCCTGATTCAAAATGTTAATGCAATATAAAATGTGATTTGCACAGAATCATAATTATCTATTGAACCATATTTTGGACTTCCTGCAAAGTGAAAAAAATTGAGGGAAGAAAATATTTTAATTAGTGTAGTTAAAAAAAAGAGTTATTCACATTTCTAAATTGCTATTTTGTTTAAGGCACCAGTTTTTTTTCCTCCAATGAAATGTTTTATTTTAAAAGTTTGATAACATTTTAAAGAATTCTGCATTTTCCTGTTCATTTATCCATTTGTTAAAAAAAAAAAACTGGGATACTCAACATCTAGTTCAACAAGAGAACTAGAAGAGCATAGAATGGAAGAAAGATACATAGCAGAATTGTTTCTCATGCCTAAAATGATTTATTGATATCCCAGCTACTGATAAAAATCCTCCTATCAAGTTCTCAATATTTGTAATTTATACTTCTTAGACAGGAGGAATATTTGAAGTTAGGATGTTATGGGCATTACCTCAATATCACTGTGGGGGAGATGATTTGTACATTCCCCAGATGATAGACTGCTGAGATTTCCCATTATTCCGGGGATGTTGTCCAGAATACTCCCTTCCACTTCAGCTCATACTTCTCATTTTAACTGGGCAAGACAGCACATTTGCAAACAATTCCCTCATTTTTAGCCAGCTTCCTTTTCCATTTTCTAAGAAAGCCCACAGGATTTTTGTAATATGTTTACTTCCTATATCATGTTTTAAATTAAAAGAATCTAGAAAACTAAAAGGAAAGCAGCAGTGGCCAGAACCTAGCAGGCATCAAGGAAAGCATTCTTAGATGTTGTACTCCTCATGGTAAAATTCCCTATATCTGACATAGAGTAATAGAGAAGGAAAGCAAAGAGGAAGATAAGGGACAGTAAGTTCTGCCTTCGATGTTCTAAAGCTGGAAGCTCAACTATCTATTGAATTTTATGACAAAGCATTGATTCAAATAGTGCAGCCTTATCATATTTCTCCATAAAGCAAGTCTCCATGAGTTCAGCTGGATTTACATTCAAACAAATGTAACTGGAGTTGTTCTTATTAAATAGTAACAAGAACTTTTCATTCTAATTTATGGTAGATCAGATCCCACAATCCAAAAGGACATCTAAAAGAGTAATACTTCAAATTTCCTAGAATTGATCAGAAGAGCAAATAATATATTAAGGAGCGAGAGAGGTCTAGAAAGGCTGTCATGATATTAAAACGACACTGGGCAAATTGAAATCATTTCCCCCCAACTGTATTCTTTATAATATATTTATGTTAGATTGAAAGCATTTATAATGTAACAGCTGTGCCTCCACAGGGTATGTTATGCTTAACATCCAGCTGAAAAAGTTTTGTGAAAAACACAAGCTTTGCTCATTTTTTCCCTATATTTTTCTTTTCTGTTAATCCATGTGATTATTTTATTTATCTTCCATTCTTAATCATATTAAGTTTTTGAAGATACTGGAAACCTCAGTGACATTTTCTTGATTTCCTTCAGGGATTTACCGAGAAGGGTCTTTTTTTTTTTGTCTATGGAGAAAACCTGGCATGTCTTTTCTACTGATCAAACCAAAAACAGAGTTGATGTTTTTTGTTTTGTTTTTTACAGAAGGAACTCCTCTGCAACTTGCTTTATTGAAACATCCAGAAGAAGTAACTCCAGTGAATCTACAAGAATTATAATATATATGGGCAGATCAAGATCATGGAGCCACTTAACCAACCAAAAATAAACAAATAATCCTATGTGTTATAGATTCTTCAACTATCTTCTATCTTTGCATAAGTGAAACAAAGAGCAATGCAGATGTAGCCTTATCTTTTGCATTACTGGGACAGGGGAATGTTTCAAAAATAAGAATTTGACTAACAAATTGTAGTTTGGGTGACTTAATATAGCTCTACAGAAGTCCTGTAGTTTGATATTCAAACCCTTGATAGTCTTTTCTGAGAAAAATCTGCGGCCAATCAGCCCTGTTATATTATTTAGTTCAATATCTGAGTTCAGGAATATCCCCATAATTCCTTTTATGAGGAATACTCATGAAATATTCAATTCTATGTAGGTCTAATGAGAAAGCAATCCCTCAGAATTCAGTGGATTTACATTTGCAGCCATGGAATAGAACCTCTGAAACTTCAACTGGTTTTCTTTAGATTTACTCCTGAATAAATGGGTAGTGGATACACTTGCCGAGGAGTAAGATTCATTCTGCATAATAGGTTTTATTTATGGGTAAGCACATATATTGTGACATTGTTAATGTCTCCCTTTCATCTGTGAGACTTTATGCATGCAAGAGGTTTTTGTGCAGTCCTGCCTAGAACTCTACTGGGAGAGAATCCACTAAGCTGTCATTGATGAAATGACTTTGACATTTTTGAGTGGAAGACAGCTAGGCATATATAATTAAAAGGGCTGGTGAAGTGGTCTTTTCATATTAGCATGGATCAAATGGAAAATGGCACATGGAAACGAAGGCATGTCAGCACCCATGAGCTCAGTGTATTAACTCAAGGTTAGATTTCAGTACACAGATTACTGCCAAAAATGGGAGTCAACGATTAATATGGCATTATTTTATCTGACAGATGTGAATACACTTCTATATACTTCAAAGATGAATTTACAACAGTAATCTAAAGACTTGTTCACATACACTAAGACCTCAACTTTAGAGACTCCCATTCAGCAGATTTCAAATAAAAATACAAGAATCAGAATTTTGATTTTGCTCCCCAAATAAGAGACTGTGTCTCTTAATGGGAAGAAAGTCTGGTGGTTTCTGAAGATGGGTTAATTTTTTTTTTCATGAACCAGACTGCATTTTATACTGCTAATGGCATGAGATGTGTAGGTATTTTTGTAAACATTTTATTTAGTCTACCATGCTTTCCAAAGGTAGTTAAAGGCTCCTGTGAGGTGGTTAGAGTGAAGCTGGAATGAAAAACTTCAGCTCAGCTTTTGACAGATAGCTATACCTACTGCTCTAAGCATCTGTCCAAATTCACCTCCTCCATCAACACAGTCCAAAACTAAGTGGGGAGAGTGATTGATGGGTGGTTTTTTTCCCTCCCGGAAGACTACCCATCATGGTATTGCAAAGAGAGCATCACTTGCAAGCTTGTTGATAAGCAAAAGGGAGATTTTTGGGGAATGGGGAAAGAACAAATTATGCTGCTACATTTGTGTGTAATCTCACAGACTGGAGAAAACTATATTAAACTTGTCTGGATGTGTCCTTTGGAAGCAGCTGGGTGTGTGTGTGCATGCATAGGATGATGAAAATAAAGGCACTTTGTTGATAAATAAATTAGCAACCACATTTTATAGCTTGCTCCCAATTAGTTTGTTCCCTCCAAATCTGAAATCACTAGATATGAAATATAGATTGTTAAGAGCAGGAAAAAGGTGATTGGGCAATTTGTCCCAGACAAATATATACAGTACATACAGATTTTGATTAATTTTTTTAGCTCCAAAGCCATATTTACTGGTCCTCATATAGTTATCCATATAAAACATATAAAACACTTAGTTTACCTTAGTATTTTTAACTGTTTGAAAGTGAATTTTCCAAGATTTTGGCAGAGGCTTTTCCTAGCTCCCTTTGGAAATAATGTCTGAGATAATTAGCTAGATAAATAGAAATTACATGTACATAGTTTATTATCATGGACCTGAAATTGGATGCTTATTGACTGAAAATTCACAAATCAGATAACATGAAGAATGTTTCATACAAGAAATATTTTTGTCCAAATTCACAAAGACATTTCTCTAAGTACCATAGAGTTGTTCTTCGTGAAAGGGATACTATTCAAACTTTTTCTACTTCTGCTAGGCAAATTGCACAGTAGAAATCATTAATCAATAATCTGTAGAAAGGCCTAGAAAATCATTCTGGCCGCATGTTTTCCTCCCTAGAATTCTAGCTAATATGTTTAATAACTGTTTCAAGAAGAGAGGTAATATATTCCTTCTGAGAATTTTGTACCACACAGGCAAAATACACCAATTACTGCTTGGAAGTCCCTGAGGGAGCCTAGGATACTTTTTCAAGATAATAGCCTATAGATTAGCCACAGTTAATCAGACAATTTAATTAGAGGTTACCTTAAGTAGATTATGTATTTCAGTTTCATATAAATATATATTTACATACAATTGTCCTGTTCCTTTAAATACACACACATAAATGCAATCTTTGCACTTAAGCTTGCATTCAGTTTGGCCATGCTGAGAAGTCAAAAACAAAATTCTAGCAGGCAATGGCTGACCACTTCTGTAATGCTGCAAAAAAGCAGGGCCTGGATGCAGATGGCAGGAGTAAGCACTTCAATGAGGACTGAGCCACCTCCTCCCCATCCTGACAAATAATGCACTATTGCCCATATTTTTCATGTGCAACTCCTTTTATTTATTTATTTTTAAATTACAAGCCTCACTGTAAAATCATGAAATATTGACTTCAAGCACACAAGTCATTCTCGTTCAGGTCATGGACATAAAATGTGAACACATTTATGTTAAATTCCTACCAAATTTCTGTATGGTGATTACATTTCTTTAGCACACTAGCACTGATGATGTTACCTAGTTTGGGTAATGAAACATCTGCAAGAAAACAAGCAAGCTCAGAGAGCACCAAGGACCCCCCTACCTATTTTAATCTTGTTGAACCACCTTAGTCTTTTCATATCAGCTATCAGTGAAACAAAAGTCCACTTTGTTGAAATAAACTATATGATAAAACACACATCTACAGTTAACCAACTCCCTGTGCTTCACAAATCACTTCTTGAAAATAGCATGCAGATAGAACTATAGCAGCCAGTCAAATGCAAAAGGGTCGTGTGAATCTGCCCCCAAAGCCTATAATTTCTGATAGATACAATGTTTGGAAAGAAAAGCACACATTCCTTCCTATGAAGGATGAGCATGACATTTCTTCTTTCATTCCCATAACTCTTATCTCTACCTGAAAGTGGGAAAAATGCAACTCATAGTAGCACTGCCAAGCATGTTATCTTTGGCACCACCAATTTGGCAACCATTCTTTGAAGATAATCAGAGTTTTGTAACTCCCTGACCCCTCCCTGGGTCTTCTGTGCAAAAAGGATTTAAATTAAACCTCAATCTTCTTCTTCTTCATTGTTTTTTCCACAGAAGAATTACTGTAGTTCAAAATTCAAGATGTGATAAATGACTGGTATTACTTAGAAAAATAAGGCCTAAAATAAGCTAATAGGAAAGTACCTCAACTTAACCTTGAGGCTTGGTGCAAGATATAGGATTATTGAATCACATAACAACTCTGAAACATGGTTGGAAGGGAATAGAAGCTATGGATTAACATTATTACCTTGCCATTTTGCTACCAAAACATGCATATTTACTCCCCAATGGATGACAATATAGGTTGTTCAGGCCAATATCAGGACATAGTAGAAATTTATAAAATTATGCAGGGAGAAAAAAAAAATGTAACAGAAGAGTGACTACTTGTTATACAGTCTGACAAGTGGATAAATATAATTTCAGAGCAAGAGGAGTTATGCCAGCAGGAGAACTTGGGGAATGTGAATTGTCTACCAGAGGCCTTTGTAGGAAACATATTATATACAACTGGTAGATTGGGGAAAGTTTGCTGTTCCCTTGACTGATCCCGAGAAAACTAAGGTATCAATATTAAGGCTAGTTCTTAGAGATAGATTTGTTTAAAATGTAGTTTTCAAATCTCCTTCTTCTACATGCATGCACACACAGGAAACAGCTGGTTAACTTCCTATTCTAATCTTTCAATGCTCCCAATGCACTTGGGGGAAAAGTAAAAAAAAAACATGCATGGGGTTGAAGTCCCACCCCTTCCTTATATGTGTTGTACACACCTAGGAAAAAAAGGTGGGGCTTTGGTTGTGCAGTTAGGGCCATCATAGAGATGATTTTAATCCCTACATCCCACATGGACGCTTTTGAGCCCTACAAGGTTTTAATTCCCAAATGCTGTTTCTGTATCAGAAATTCCTCAGGGATAATAGTTTGAATTCAGCATACAGCATACTATTTACCTAAAGCATACTGAATCCACACTATTCTATTTAATACACAGTCCTTATGACAATAATGGCATAAAGCTATTTACCTATAATTAGAACAAACACCAAAATGGCTGATGGGACTTATTCTAAAAGTATATAATAGACTGTACCTTAAAACTTGTTGATTTATTTATTTGATTTACAGTCGTACATTCGTACTCAACTGTTTTGAAACTCATTGAATTTGATATTCAATGCATTTTGATGCAAAAATTTTGTCCTAGTAATCATTGGTTTGGTACTTGCACAAGCTAGAACTTATCAGTGTCAGCTGCCTCGTGACTCACTACATTATTCCTCATAGGAAACATTCGTTCGGTGCTCATTATTTTTGGTACTAATCATGCCTCCTGGTACCAATTAATGAGTATTGAGCAGTGGTGGGATTCAATTTTTTTTTACTACCGGTTCTGTGGGCGTGGCTTGGTGGGTGTGGCAGGGGAAGGATACTGTAAAATCTCCAGTCAGAGGTAGTATTTTCTGGTTCTCCGAACTACTCAAAATTTCCACTACTGATTCTCCAGAACTGGTCAGAACCTGCTGAATACCACCTCTGGTACTGAGGTACCCCTGTATGTGGTTGCTCTTCTTGCCATAATTACTCTTAATTGCTAACAT